AAATACTGTTTATTCCAGACATGTTGGCATAGGTTTCCAAATACTGCTTTCACTTAAAGAGAAGATATCAGGCTTTTACTATTTTCCCCATACATACAGACTTCAAATGTGTCTTAGTCATGAACCATAGTGAGTCCTTTCTCAGGAAGCACAGAGGTTTCATTAGGTAGAAAAAGTAGTAAAACATTGCTCAAAACATTGGTATTGATTCTGATTCAGTCATCAAATCAATTCTAGGTACTTACAGGAGGTTTCAGTGGAAAAGGGCATGCATGCATGGTGCTCATAATCCACAGGAAAGTGCTATCGCTCTGGTCCTCACTGCCTGCTGCCTGCAGCGTGCTGTTTGCACAGTATTGTTTCCCTCTTGGACAAGAAAGTCTGGGCAGTGATGCAGCTAAACAGTCCTCAATCACAACTGAGAGACACTGCTGGGAAGCTGTTGTCAATGGTACCTCACCAGCTGTGAAGGTTTTTTTTTTTTGCTTGATCTCTACTAGACAGAGTAAGTTGAAGGTTGTGTCTACACTGGCATGGGGTTAGACACGTTGTACTTAGAGCTCTGGGATTTGTTTTCTGTTCTGAAGGATGCCACACTTCAAAACTACCATAGATTTGGCCAGTGCATGGCTCTGATCAGGTCTGGGGTTTAACTTTATACATAATTAATGTTCATCAAGCAGCAGTCAACCTACCAGCCAGTGCTGCTTGCAAGTGATGCAGGGCTGTACTCTGCCACCTTTCCCAGACAGATCAGACAGTCAGAATTTTTTGCCTCCACTTGCATAAAATGCATCTTTACTTTGAATCTCTAATGCATTTGATTTCGTTTATGCCTATCGTGTTCTTGTAAACTGCCGCTAAGGTTTTGGAGATGATGCTGTTTGTCAGGAAGGTACTCCCGGCAGTTGGCAAGCTCCACAATTTCCTGGCCATCTTCTGATATGTTGTTGCAAATAAATATATTTAAAATAAAAAATTAGCTGCTTTCAGGAGTTTGAGACCTTTGGTGCAGAAGGTGTTTCAGCTGCTTGCAAGAGCTGTATTTCTTTGACAAGGAAATGGGCCAAAAGAGAAAATGTGGAATCATGTATTTTCTTCTGCATGAACACAGCATGGCTGTGAGATGTTCCTGATTGCAAGATTGCTTGTATTTCTATGGCTTTTTATGGGATGTCTTAAGTATTTGTTGAAAGTTTTCAGAAGTTAGATCTGAAATTCTGGCACCTAATTTTAAGTGAGAATTCTACCTTCTGGCTGCAAAGCACATTAAGACGCCTTTTCTCCAAGGAAGGATTAAATCTGAGTGACCTTCAGGCACATGTACAAAATGCAAGATTTCTGAGCTCTGTGTATGAAATTGCTTGAAACTAATGAGGACAAGAGTGGCCACGAGGGACATTAACTTTGTGGTCTGGTTGCAGCTACACATTTTAAATAATGCCTTTGTCTGGATACTCTTTTTATCATAAAATAGTCTGTGAAAAGGGTGAAGTTACTGTACAATTCTGTATGTGGACTGTAAAATCAGCCTTCTTAGATGGTAAGAAAGTGCAGATGGGCTATTGGTCCTTCACTTCTTCCCTTTGTTTCATCAGTGAATGCTGCATACAGAGTAGGTGGCTGAGTCTGAAGCCTGTCTCTCACATGCTATGATACCTAATTCAACTCCTCAGTCCTTTATTGCTAGCCACATCTAATAAGTTTTCCCACGTTATCCACTCTGTCTCACTGGCAACCAAAGGGACTAGACATAGTGAGTGCTTTTCAGACAACTTGGAATAAAAAAAGGTCTTTTATCTGTAGTCCTGCTGCTTGCAAACAAATGTACAGTGGACACAATGAGACTGTTTGACATGTCAGAGGTCTATTTCTTTTTCTTGGAAGACATCTAATGTTCCCCTGTTTAAACCAAAAGAGAACATACATTATCTGTGTCCCGCTTTCTATTTTCTGAACAAAAACCAGCTGGTACTAGTGCTTGCCTTTAGGAAGAGACCATCAGGAAGTTGAAATATCAAATCTTGGCTGTACTTAGTTGCCACGGTGATGTATAATTAACCAGGCTGCAGTAAAGTTATAGAAAGTAAACATAAGGAAATATTCTTGCTAATGGAAAAATCTAAACCTTAGCTTTAAGTAAGATTGAAGGGACTGAAGATTAAATCTTAATTGATCATTTGCAATTGGACACATATGTTTGCTTTTATATTGCAATTTGATCAAAAGAGTATTGTTGTATGGTCAGAAAGAAATTTAATTTGAAAGAAATCAGGATTCTGAGACATGTTATTGATGGTACATTCTAAAGGCAAATCACTGAATGTTTACCTCCTGCAGCTGATATGTAAACACCTTTTCCAAGTGGTTATGATACTGATGTAGAGTAATTTGTTTGTCTAAGTGCTTTTCTTTAAGTGCTTATAGTTAAATTATCCTAATGTATTATAAACCAAGAAAATTCAATGTACATTTGGAAGGCCATACATGCCCCCAAAAATTTGATGTGCAGTTCCCCAGATCCATACAGGAGGAAGTTTCAGTCTGTTTGTGAGGTTTCCGGTTTAGGTGTGAGGTGCTTTTGAAGAATTAAAACTGTGGTACACTGTCTATGAGAAACTTGTGTACTGAAAGGTGGGTCAGGAGCAGTGAGATAAAGTTTATATATTTTTGGAAATCCTATTCTGTGTTGTATCTCTCAGAGACACACTTTATGTGCAGAAGTCTGAACAGATGTACAGTGTAGGGGCTGCTAAGTAAAACATAGCTGGGATAGAACCATGTGCCTAGTCACCCTGATAGGAAGATTATTAATACTTTAAGAACTTGTGTTTGTTCTCTGCATTTGGCCATCTTGTTCTTCAGATGAAGGATGTCACTAAAATCAAGACATGTACATAGTAATAGGCCCTGAGAAGCTTTTCTGTGCCTTATCTTCTCTTGATAAGATTAGTGTAATACTTTCTCTTCTAGAAAGCTAAGAGCAGTAAGTGACCTTCAGCTGGTTTAAAACTCTGCTGTAAGTACTGTCAGAGCATATGTTACTGATTAAAGCAGCAGCTCACCTCCTACATCTCTTAATAACAGTAATTCTATTGAATGTTGTCATTTAAGGCCCATTATTTTTCACCTTCAAACTTACTTGATTTTCCTGTCAAATTTTAACGTCACAGTGCTTCTATGTGCTCGTTGTGCATTATTCTCACTGAGTTGAACAGAAGACAGTGAAGGTTGCTCGATTTGGCACTGCAAAGTGCTGAACACTCTTGGCTGACGTTGACTTCTCTGACAGCAGAGGGTATACAAGGAGTACGTCTCGTGGTCAAGCGTGTTTGCCATGCTCTACGTGGAGTAGAAAGATGCTGTGAAAATTGAGCCTGAACACATTGATGCCTTTTCTGCTGTAACTTTGAATTACTTGTATTCACTCAGAATTGTATGTTGTGATGACATTGGCATTGGGTAAAAATGCATTTCTTTCTGTCATTTTGTAATTTCTTGCTTTTCAGTTTGATTCATTGAACTTGTTAGTTTGTGTGGCATAAAAATGGGCACAGAAGTACCAATTAATTTCCAGTAAAATGCCCATGTAGTTCCTACAAAACATGTCCTCTATTCTTACTGAGCAGGACACGAATTCCTGAGGGCCCCCTCCTGTTTGAGCATCATGTAAAAATGTCAGCTCCTGAAGTTACAGTCACTATCAGATTATTGATAAGAGGATAGGAAGGTTGGGCATTTTTATTCAGAACACAAGAAAAAAAATATACATCACACAACATATGTTTTTGCCCATATTTGCAAGAAAAGTGCAATATTTCACCTGAGGAAAGGTCTAAAATTATGCTTTCCCCTGTTTGGCAAGGCCTGTTGAAAAGGAGCCACTTGAGCGAAGCACCAGTGTTTACTTTGTTCCTCCTTAACATTTCCTGTAAAACATCTGATTGTAAAATGAAAGTAGGACTACTTTCAAATTTAGTTTTTAATGTTTATTTGGCAGAGCTGACCTAAAAAAGGGGCCCAATACGCTGAGTTAGCCACCCTTGATGCTGTCTGACCAAAGAATAACACTGGAGTGAGCTGTGAAAACAGCTTCTTGCCTCCACCTTCTCTGCAGGAAATGCACTGGTTGTTGCCAAACACTGGTGTGTTTTCATACGTTTAGATTCCTTTTAGGCAGAAAATGGTTGCAGATTTTAAGTACAGTTTTTGAAAATCTGATAATATTCAGGTAAAATTTGCTTTCTTATGGTTGCTAAGAGCCTGTATCAAAATCCTATTCCACCCTGACTGCAGAATAGATAGCATCAGATAGCTTCCACATTAGATATCCTGTATATTACCAAAATTTGCTTGAAGCTCTGAACTTAACAAGCATGATACAGAAGGACTTTCGTACAAAGCATGAAGAGTTAGTCCTTGGCTTTCGGCCAGGAATAAAGAATGCTTGCCCTTGTGCCATTTTGTCCTGCACTGCTCCAGTTCTGGCAGCAGTTCTGCCTCAGTGTAATTGTTGGCACTGAAGCTCAGCTGAACCCTGACTGGCCTCTTTCTGCAAGCAAGCAGGGCACAGAGGTCTGAGACGGCATCAAAACTCTGTATTGATCAACTGTAATAGAGGACTCTATTATGAGAACCCTTCCTATCAGCCAAACAAACTGACTACAGCAATGCAGTAGTAAAGTGATAAAAAAAGCCATAAAGAGTGTGAAGTAATTTTCATTCTTTTCCATGGGATAATGGAGGGGCAGAAAATATGAGAACAAACAGCTCCTTTTGGGAGAGCCACTGTTTTCACTGTCTATCTGCACTTGTTGATCTCTCCTTCCTATCTGTAATAACTAGTAGTAGAGTTTTTCATTGTCATCTGGACGAGACACAGAACGTAGTCACAGCTTTAAGTGATAAAGTGTTTTTTATTGTTTGCAAAGGCTTGCTTACTTTTATTTATTTTGCTTACTGTTCTTTAAAAAAACAACTTTCCCATTTCATTGAGGCAGATTTGGAAATCAAACCAGAAACTTCAGACTCTACTACGATGGAAAGCACTTTGTTGGGGAGAAACGTTTTGAGTCCATCCATGACCTCGTGACAGATGGATTGATTACTCTTTATATTGAAACGAAGGCAGCTGAATACATTGCCAAGATGACAATAAATCCAATTTATGAACATGTAGGATATACAACTTTAAACAGAGAGCCAGCACACAAAAGACTTATGCCAACCCTGAGAGATGAACATGATGGCAAAGAGTCTACAGGAGAGGATGAGGTAGCAGAAAAAAGGGTAAGCAATTGTTAAAACCCACACTCTTTTTTCTGTTAGACTTTATTTTGTATTTTAACCCCCCCACACACTATAAAGTGCTAGCAGTATCTGTAGATATTTAGTCTACGTATTTACTTCCAGTATTGCATTAATAGTAACATTTAAACTGGTTATACGGGGTTTTAATGGTGACTTTTGCATATTGCAAATTCCTGTGATTTGGAATTTAGTTATTTATCATTGTGAAGTTACTTTTTTTTCATGTATTTTCACAGTTATAGATGTGACCATTAAGCCACTGCTTTATTTCAAAAGGGCTAAGAATATTTAATCTTAAAACTGTTTACAGTGTATAAGACAACTACCCTTTGGTCAAAAATTATATTTTGTAATATTTTCAGCATTCTCCAAACAAATGCATTCTATAATCTATTCAGCAGTCTGCATACAATGACAGTAAAGTTGTCCATGTTATAAATAAGCCTGTTCATTAAGTTGATGAAATGTTAAAACATTTCACTTGGCTAAGTTCAGCCTGTCGAAACTGACAGAGCTATTTTTGGCCTCAGCCAGACTTGGGAAGAAAGATTGCTCTCTTCAGAGAGTTGCAGTATCAGCTGACAACTAACTGCATCCTGGAATACAAAAGAGAAACTAACAACAAAGAAATCTTAGACCAGTAAAAACAGAAATATTAAAGGAGGTTGGTCATTTATCGTGCAGACAAAGCAGCTGCCTGAAACTTCATTTGTGTGACAGAGACTAAACTTAGAAAGAAAACAGAAAGAAGACATAAAATTCAATTGTGTTAAACTCGATGCTTTGCTTATTGAAAAGCTGACATATGAAAGTAATTTTAATGAACACCTACGTATGTGTAGGTGTTCATGCGTGTAGAATAGTCTGATACGCTCCTCTATTTCACAAACTTCAAGATGGTGCTAGGAGTATCTAATATGCGTAAAGAGCTTAGAATAAGTGCTAACCTTAGTTGGGATCATCTGTTTGTCTTGCCAATCAGAAATATGTCTACGACTTCAGTTTTTCTTGAGGCAGAGGAAAGGTCTCACTGACTATTTCCAATATACATGACTATTACACTGAAACTGAGCTCCGTGCAGAGTCCACAGAGAGAGGAGGCTCATAGCTTTGGTCCTTCAAATCCTTCTCCAGCAGAGTCTGTCATCCTGCACTGAATTTGCAGAGAGAGGAAGCACCCAACTTAGCTTAAAGTGTGAATCTTCACTATTATCAGATCATTTTGACAAAAGAAGTACCGGTGAGGATATTGAAGCTAGCTGACCATGTTAGGTATCTGTAGTAGCAGGGTGATTTATCAGTTACAATATCTGACAGGCACTGCCTTGCAGCATGCTGTTTCAAAGGGATTTTTTTGCACATTATCACAGAGAGTTCATTGTAATGCAAAGCCTGGATAAAAATCTTCTGTAACAGTTCTGGAAGTCACCATTTTTTTGGGTTTCTTTGGTAAAGTTAACTCTTCCTGCATTTAGTAGCTTTCAATTGACAACAGAACGCTGTTCTGTCACAACATTTTTAGACTGATGAAAAAGGTTTCACAGTAAATGCATTTAAATGATTATTACTGAAGAATGACATTTTTTCCATAGTAGATTACCTGGTGTTGTATCAGACTCAGCAATAAGGTATACAAATTGTTTTGAAACATTTTTTTGTGTGTGAAATAGCTCAAGAACTATTAAATATTTCTCACAGATGGGAAGTCTAGGTGAAAAACCTTTAGAGAGGTTAGTCATGAAATTGCAACATCCCACGCTGTTTGTCTGGAAGTTCTAAGCAACTGAAGCTGGCTTCATCTCCAACATAGTTCAACACTAGTGGTGTTTACTGGCCTGAAGCCCAGCTTTTGAGCTTTTTCTTATTTGTCTTGGAACCATGTTGATGTGAACACAGTGAGGCACAGAGACATTACAGTGTAGTTACATGTGGAGATTTCAGTTTAATTTCAAGGCATTATCCATTTGGGATGACTCCCCATGGCTGTGCTTGGAAGGCACAGTGTGATCCTTTTTACTGTGGAGTGGAGCAGAGGTGGCATCTTTGCTGCTTTTACACCTCTCAGGGTCTTTGCTTAGAAGATGACATGGAGAGTCCTGAGTGTTGCTTCACCCAGTAAATCTCCAGGGAGAATAAGGCATTCAACTCCATGACCAACACCTGGTAGCAACCTCAGCATTTGGAACAAGGCCCATTGTCTTGCTAAGGCTTGCCAAATCCTTTCTCCCTCCTCTCTAAGTCACAGGATGTGGGGAGCATGGGAATGGGGAGAGATATGATGGTGGCCTCACTGAATGTCTCATGATGTGTGGTGGCTATGTGCAGTGTGGTGGGAAGAAGAGACCATGGAGGGCTTCCCAAAGTGTCTCCCATCACTGTCTGTGGGACTCGACTACTTGCACATCCTCTAAAGCTGTCACATTGACAGCCTGGGAGAACTATTTCCACTTCAGTGGGAAGAACATAACCAACTGACTGGAGGACTATACAGGCAGGTGGCTGAATCACATCTGGTGGCTAATTTTTTATTTTTTTTAATTAAATAATGCAGTATATACTCATTTGACAAATAATTTGCATGTAAAGCATGAATACTGGATGACAAGAAATATTTCTTTGGCTTTTTTAAAAGCCTAGCTAGTATAAAAAACTGACATGCAAGCAGCAAAGAACACGGGAAAGGTTACATTTGCACTTAAACAGAAGACTCAGTCTCTCTGGTAGTTTGTAAACCTTCTTTGGTAAAATAATAATAATAATGAAATATAAAAAAAATATATATCCTCTACTAAATTGCTCAGAAGTAATTTTACCCTTTCTGCTTCTTATTGATATTTACTTGAAAACTTCAATTAATAATGACATAGTATTTACCTTATTATGAATCATTTAATCATGGTATAAAGAAGTTTTATTATAGGACATATACAAATAGGTCAAGTAGGGTTTTTTTCTGTTCGGTGGGAGGCATGGCAGAGAGATTCCTGTCATCCAATGTGAAGAGAATGTCACTGAATTGATGCTGACACTTCTAACAAAGAATGCAAAGAAAACTGTTCAAAATCCAACAAGAAAAAAGCATTGTCTTATGATACAAACATCAAAATCTGTCCCCTGCAACAGTAGCCTGTTAGCCCCATGGGGAGGATGAAAATTTCTGCAGGGTGTTTGGCAGTTAATGTGTATTTATCAGTTTGATACTGTAGCTTCTCCCTACAGTGCATGTTTCCTCCTCAGTGAAGAGAGAAAGAAGTCTGGGTCTTGAACATGGGTCATTCTGATTCAAAATACATTCCCAGATTTGCAGATCCTGAGGCTATTCAGATCTGACTTTAAACTTTGTGCCTACAACTGTTGTCCTGCCCTGTGTGGGTGGTGTATGAAAGATAAACTCTTCAGGAGAAGGAGAGGCACACAGGCACTGACTGGGCAACAGCTGGTGGGAATGTAGTTTTGCATTCTGCCATAAAATCAAGTGGAGGAGATTAGGCAGCCAGAGAACACACCCCAAACTTGAGAACGAAATACTAAATAGCACTTCATCTAGCCTTGAATTTGGTGTGGGGCAGCAACAGTGAACACCACGAATTTGTCTTAGATGCCTCCCAGCATGCACTAATAATATTTTATTTGTTCCCCACTCTGTCCAGCAGTTAATTTATAGCAGAAGAACTCAGCATGTGTTGGAGACTTGTCATATGCAGTGCCTTAAAAAGGAGCCTTAGTAAAAGGAAAGGATTTAAAGACTGTAAAAGATGAAAAGACAAATATTATGCAATCGCTAGATGAGGATCGTAGGACACAAACTATAGTACTCCCAAGTCCTGAGAGAGACCATATAGTGCGGTGATTTAAGATGCAGTTTTTAATAGCAAAAGCATGAGGATATAATCTACTGCACTGCATGTGCATCACTGATTATGAGAAGGAATTTGACTGCTGACTATATACAAGTATATATTCAAAACTTCAGGTTAATGATTTATGATTTTCATAACTTAGAAATTAATAAATAGAGATAACTGGGGTGGTGGAGGTTGAAAATAGGACAGTGCCTGTCATGCTCAAGTACCCTGAATAGGTATCTTAGCTGCTGTGCTGAAAAGGTAGTGCTGGTTCCCAAAACAGTCTGCAGATTGTTCAGAACTCAGTTGTGCAGCCATCATGGTCTGTGTGTTAAGAGAGGGCTGTGGTTCATTTGAAGGAGGGCTTTCCGTGTGGATTCAGTCTGTATGGCCTAGTGTGGAAGTGGAAATAATACCCAGTATCACAAGATTTACTATTCCTCCTGTGCCTTGAATATTGATGGATCTCTGAATATTCTCCACTCTGAAAGGTAATTATGGCCTTGGAGCAGATGACTTGATTCAATTAGGTACCTTATAAAAATGGTATCTCTCAGAAGTTAATAAGTATCTAGATACACATATCAAAGTCCTTCTTGAAAGCCTGGCAAAACATGTTTAATTTTTTTTTTTATTTTGACAGGCTTTTGAGATATTAATGTAAGAAGTTGTACGAGTGATTATTTAAGATTTAGTATTTGAAATGAAATAATTATTTATGAGTTACCCTCTCTTTCAGAATGAAATGGTGAGGCCAATATTAGGATAGCAACTGAATCACATTTATTCATGTTTACTTTGGTGATAAGTTCTGTTTCTTCAAGCAACTTCAGTGGCTGCAAATCAATTAAAGAGCCCTTCTAGACTGTACTACATTCAGTTCAATTCCTACAGATGGAAGGAGTTGAGAGAAGGTTTTCGGCAGCGGTCACCCAACAAAAGTGCTATTTTCTTTTATTATCACCTTAGTGGTGATACCATTTTTTTCCTCCATACTGATGAAGGCTGATTATCTGCAACCCTGTGCAAGGAGATCTAGAAATGCAAATCTATGTCATTTTAGTAGGAAACATGCTTTTAAGCTTGCCTCTGAAGATAAGCCAGATCACAGTTAATCGCAATGTCTGTATACAT